GCTATATATATATATATGGTGGTGCTGCATAGCCAATATACATAAGTAAATAACGCAAAAATTCTCATCAATACCGGTGTCACTTGCTCCAGATTCTATATTCTACCTAAGATTCATAAAACGAACAATCCCGGACGTCCGATTGTATCGGTATGCAACTGCCCTACTGTGATAATAAGTGAATTCATTGATGGAGTACTCAACCCACTTGTCCTATCAAAATCTTTAATCATTTCAAATACTCTGGTGATGAGAAATACATTTTTTACTTTGGACGTTACCTCTCTTTACACCTCAATTACAATTTACAATCAAGGGTGGACTTATTGCATTACGCTTTTTTTTTTATTGAACGGAACACCACTATCACTTACTCTCTGCATCAACTATCGTACGCCTTGCTAGTTTTAACTACTGCTGCCTTTAGTTTCAATGGAAAATAGTACCGCCAATAATCTGGAGTCAGTATGGGAACCAAAATGGGACCGAGCTTTGCATGCTTATTCATGGGACACTTGGAATCACAAATCTTTGATCAATATACCGGAAGGAAGCCTGATCTATTTAAACGTTACACTGATGATTGTAAAGTGCCACCTCAGGGAAACTCGAAGACCTATAGGAATTCATCACTTCATCTCAATGATTTTCACCCAGCGATTAAGTTTACGTAAAAGAAATATCCAGAAACAGTTTATCATTCCTGGATATACGCTTTGCAATCAGAGACTCATCACTGTCAACTCCCGTCTTTTACAAACCTACTGACGCACATACGTTTCTGAACTACAAATCTTGAATCACATCATCCGTCATGCAAAGACTCAATCCCATATTCTCAACTTGTCCGTTTAAGACGCATATGCAGCGACGACGATGATTTTTACGCCAAAGCCATAGAAATGATGCACTTCTTTAACGTGAGAGGTTATCCTGAGGCTATCACTAACAAATCGCTTAAGAAAATCTACGAACTAACACGAAATGATACTTTACAGCCTACTGCACATGATACCAACAGGATACCAATTGTTTTAACCTAGACCTACCATCCTATAACTAGGAAAGTCGCCAAAATCATTAGGGACAACTTCAAGATTCTCCCATCCAATGAATCTACTAACAAAATATTTGCTAATCCTCCACTGTGTGCTTACAGAAGAGATAAAAATCTTAAACCAACTTGTACGTTCATCCATAGAGAAAATTTTCTCTATGGTTCATCCATCAAATCTACAGCTATAACCAAAGAATCGACCACTCCGTGCAACAGACCGAGATGCAACACTTGTGCCTACGTGTATTTTACTGACACTATTATTGGACCATCTGGACAAACCACGATTCATGACACCTTCTCATGCACTTAAGTCAATTTAATTTATGCTATTACCTGCCATAAATGTAATATGCTATACATCGAAGAAACTAAACGAAAAATAGCAGATAGATTTACTGAACACTCAAGATCCATAAAACTTAAGCAGACAGGCCTTCCTGTTGCCTCTCATTTTGCAACTAACCACTCTCTAAAGATATTACTATAACTGGCATTCAACTATGTAATGGGACTGATTCAGTACGGAAGAAACAGAAGAGAAACAAATTAGGTACTCTAGCTCCAGCAGGTATTAATGTACTATCATTTAAATCATTCAGAAAATAACTTAATTGAACCTATAGGTTTCTAGTTTTTAAGTTATCTTCATATTTTCTACTGATACTGTATTATTTTTTACTGATGCCTATGTATGTTACGCAGGTTTACAGCTCGTTATGGATTATATTACATTATATTTTATCATTTTCTTATTCATTTCTATACCATTGATTTTATTATATACAATAAGAGTTTATATACATATTATTTGATTTGCTTTTTATTTGACATACTTTATATTTAGCATGTATATTTTACTTCATGCTTTTTGCATTCATTCAGTTTGCTTTTAATCTACTCCACATAGTTTATCCATTGTTTTTTTTAACTGTTAATACGCTTTTTATTATATGTTTATTTTGCTCCTATTGTTTTATATGTAGCTATACCATTGGCTAATTAGTATCTTCAATCCCATTGGTTTATCATAAGCCACTTCATGAGCTTCTGTTATGTATTTAATTATATCTTACCATGTTTTACTTCATAGCTTGATAAAGATTTATAGTCGAAAGTACTCGCTAGTTTTTATATACATTTTGAGGCATATATCTGATTATACCGTTTGACTCGTTATTTAATATATGTATATTGCCTATGCAGCACCACCATTACT